CGTAAACTAAACACACATTTATCTAAATATTGGCTGGGAACCATGCTTCCCTTTTTGTTGCTAAAGGGAGTCTACCATCTAAATATTTGCAGGGGTGTTTTTTTCTCCTTCCCTTGAGTCACTCCCTATCTTCCTAAGTTTAACAACACAGAACTGATCACTTGACAGGTACTTACATCAGTAACAGTTTGACTTTCCCTGATAGTGTCAAAGCAATATAATGACTCATGCTAATTATTATGCTTACCACCTGATTTGGATGAATTTAGTCTTTCTGTGCACTATATCTTCTATGTGTTACAATCTGAGATGCTTTTTAAGTTTTATTCACAGAGTTGGAGAATAAAACACATGAGTGTTTAAAAAACAAAACACAGGTCACCCAAGAAGTTTGTAAGCACCAACCATTTCACCCTAAGCAAGTGCTAAAGGTGTAATGAACCATTTTAGGAGACTAAATATATGTGTTAGACTGTTGCAGAAGATGAATTTGTTGCCTTAATCTTTCTGCCAGTATTAAAATATATTTCAAGCATTTTATTGTGCTTACTGATTATTTTCTTCAGCCTTACACTTATCATTATTGCTCAGATTATAATTGATCTTAATTCATTTTTTTAAACTACAGTTTCCAAGGGATAAATATGCTAGAAAAGCATTTGGCAACTACACATGGGATATTAGTAGATGCTAAATGAGAAAGAATATCATGGTCAAATAAGTAAATGCTAGATTAGACAATGTTAAACAAATTCTTTTCTGCAGGATTTCTCAGGGCCTTTGATAAGAAAATGTGAATTGCAAATGTCAATTCACACTGATGGACTGATATATAATATGTAGCATCTGCCAAATCTAGCAGGCCACAGATCCTTCACTACTTGTTTATTCATAGAAAGCATATTCTAAAGCAGTGGTTCTCAGCCTTCCTAATGCTGTGACCCTTTAATACAGTTCCTCATGTTGTGGTGGCCCCCAAACATAAAATTATTTTCATTGCTACTTCATAACTGTAATTTTGCTACTGTTATGAATCGTAATGTAAATATCTGATATGCAGGATGTGTTTTCATTGTTACAAATTGAATATAAAGCATAGTGATTAATCACAAAAACAATATGTAATTATGTGTTTTCCGATGGTCTTAGGCGACCCCTGTGAAAGGGTCGTTCGACCCCCAAAGGAGTCGCGACCCACAGGTTGAGAACTGCTGTCCTAAACGATGCTGATGCTGCTGGTTCAAGGATCACACTTTGAGGAGCAAGAAGTTAGGGCAGGAGTTGGCCAACTTTTTCTATAAAGTCCACATAGTAAATATATTAGGATTTGTGAGCCGTAGAGTCTTTTGCAACTACTCAACTTTGTCATCCTAAAGCAAAAGCAGCCATAAACAGTAGGTAAATGAATGAGCATGGTTGTGTTCCCAAAAAATTTATAGATCATGAAATTTGAACTTTATATAATTCTTTAAAAAAATATTATACTTTTAAAAATTTTCCATTAAAAAATATAAAAACCATGTCTTAGCTCATGGGAAATAGAGAAAAAGCAGTGGGCCTGCAGCAGGCTGCACATTTGCTGAACTGTGAGTTAGAGGTCAAGAAATATACTCCATGGAGAGTCAGTGGAGGTTTCCCTATGAAGCACATGTAACCAAAGCAACTAATCTTTTATTTTAATATATATTGTTATTGATTTCAGAGAGAAGGGCGAGATATAAACATCAATGATGAGAGAGAATCATTGATCCGCTGCCTCCTGCACACCCTCACTGGGGACTGAGCCCACAACCCAGGCATGTGCTGTGACTGGGAATCAAACCATGACCTCCTGGCTCATAGGTTGATGCTCAACCACTGAGCCATGCTGGCTGAGCAAATCTTTCTCTTTTTTAAACTTTTATTACATTTTGTTCATGCTTCCTTTTTCCTCTAATAGTTGGTTTATGGATTTTTTATGAAAGATTAAAAAAAGTTCTAATTGGCATCTCAGACAGACAAACACCTCAACTAGTTTCAGAGTTTACCAGGTATTCTTTCTGTTCCCTGTGGTATGTAATGCAATGCTTTCCACATAGAAGATGCCAAGCAAGCAGGTGTCTGATTGCATTTAATCTGTCAAAGGAGCCTTTCACGTGGCTGTAAGGAGGAGGAGCTCCTGGGTGGGATTAATGTAGAGTGTAAGGAGAGACTTCCAAGGAGGGGAACGTGGGCAAGTAATACATGAGGGCCGTGTCAGGGACAATAAATCCGTGCAAATATTTGACAGAAACAGCGGATTAGTATAGGAAAAGGATAGAAAATAAAATCAGGGCCAAGTCCTATGGAATGCCTCAACACAGATCTGAAGTTTAGGGGATGATGTATGTAGGGAACAGTTTCAAGAACTTTAATCTGCTACAGGATATAGAAAAGATCCATAACTTACTGGAGATGAAGAGATCAATGAAAAGATTTAAGATTAATTAAAATGTAAGCCACAGTTCTCATGGGTGAAGACCTGGACTGTGACCCTGGAAGGAGAACAGAGAAGAACGAACTGAATGATGGCTCCAGGCTGGAATGCTCTCCAAGACTTTAGAAAACAAAGGAAACCACAAAATACCCTGGAAGCAGGAAATACTGCTCTTCTCAGTTGCCTCCAGAGTAACCTGCATGCTTTGTGCAGGCTGCTCCATTGACTGGGGTGTGTGTGTGTGTGTAAGGTATCTTAATTCCCCAAATCATATATGTTTTGTGAGTATCCCATATTTATTTTTAATGAAGTTTCTGGAGAGATAATACTGGAGTATTAACAATCTGGAGTGTTAGCAAACAGATTTGCTCTGTTAACATTATTTTCAGATTAAATATAGACACATACCTACTTTAAGCTATATAAATACAGACAAAAAAAGCCTTCTGTACCATATTTTTACAAAAAGGGTACCAAGGCCAAAGAATTTTCTAGAAGATTAGACTCAGAGGAAATCTCCAAGTGCTAATTAAGAGCTCAATGGACAATACAGTCCCAGAGACTTCAATCCTTTCCATTGTAAGTGGCACATTCCTACGTATTTCTTTAAAAATAAATCACATTTGGCGGGAGGTGGTAGGGAGGAGGTTGGGGCAGCTTCATAGTTTTTATGAAACTCCTGTGGAGAATTTGAGGTGCTGGGGGAATAAAGGAAAGAGTGTGAGAGAGAACTTGTGTTAAAATAGTCTGGCAGCTTGCAACCTCCCACACCAACGTCCTGGTTGTTTGGGGAAGGAAAAGTGCTGACCAGCAAAAATGAATTACAACTGCTCCATTTCTCTAGTTGTGGAAGCCAAGCGGTCTGCTAGAGACATTTGTAAATATCGGAAATGTGGAAGGCATTAAATCTATTATTGCTCCGTTGATCAGAAGTCTTAGGGTCAATGAAAATATTGCTGCCTCTGATATTTTTAACGCGATGATTAGTTTCCCTTGGTACAATAGATATTTTGAGCATAACGTTTGTATTACTTTCATATTTTTCTTTAGATAAGAGTAATAGATAAAAGTGGAAGAAATGTAAGAGTCATTTATTATAAAACATTTTATAAGACACTTTGAATTTCTGTTCCTTTTCTTCTGCAACTGGAATGGTCTCGCCAAGTTGGACAATGTCGCTTCTTATTTCCAGGTTAATAAAACATACAGGGTGCTTTACAAACAAAACCTGTGGGAATTGTCTAGTCATGCATCTAACGGTCTAAAATGTAGAGTTCCCATCAGTAATGTGGACACAGCTCTTTTTTTTTTAATTTAAATTCTTTGAAGTATTGCATGAGTCTCCTTTTTCCCCCCATTGACCTCTCCCTGGCCACTCCCACCCCCCAGCACATGCCCTCACCCCCCTAGTGTCTGTGTCCATTGGTTAGGTCAGTGGTCGGTAAACCACGGCTCGCGAGCCACATGTGGCTCTTTGGCCCCTTGAGTGTGGCTCTTCCACAAAATACCAAGTGCGGGCGTGCACGTACAGTGCGACTGAAACTTCGTGGCTCATGCGCAGAAGTCGGTTTTCGGCCTGGGCAAGTCTATTTTGAAGAAGTGGCGTTAGAAGAAGTGGGGGGGGGAGTCGGTCGGTCGGTCAGTCGGTGGGGCGACAAGATGCAGCGCAGGTGGGCCGAGGGATACGTAGCGTGGGGGAGGCACGCTCAACTCATGCACGAGTTGAGTGAGACTGGCTACAAGACGAGTGTGGATGGGAGAGTTGGAAGGGGTCGACCTCAGCGAACGTACCTCAATCAGATTGAGGATGATTTTAGCAAAGGCCAGCTTAGGAGTACCCTAATTAAGTTAATAACAATGTACCTACCTATATAGTTTAAGTTTAAAAAATTTGGCTCTCAAAAGAAATTTCAGTCATTGTACTGTTGATATTTGGCTCTGTTGACTAATGAGTTTGCCAACCAGTGGGTTAGGCTCATATGCATGCATAAAAGTCCTTTGGTTGATCTCTTACCCCCTAACCCCCTGCATTCCCTCATTGGTTGGACTGTCTGTTTGATGCTTCTATGTCTCTGGTTCTATTTTTGTTCATCAGTTTATGTTCATTACATTCCACAAATGAGTGAGCTTATGTGATATTTATCTTTCTCTGACTGGCTTATTTTGCATAGCATAATGCTCTCCAGTTCCATCCATGCTGTTGCAAATGGTAAGAATTCCATGTTCTTTACAGCAGTGTAGTATTCCATTGTGCAGATGTACCACAGTTTTCTAATCCACTCATCTGCTGATGGGCACTTAGGCTGTTTCCAAATCTTAGCTATGGTGAATTGTGCTGCTATGAACATAGGGGTGCATATATCCTTTCTGATGGTGTTTCTATTTTCTTGGGATACATTCCTAGAAGTGGGCTTACTGGGTCTTTTTTGATCAAATAAGCATCTGATTATAGAGCACCCAGCCTTCCACTTCTGCTTTATTATTTTAACCACCGCCATTTCCTTTCTTTCTCTCTTCTGTCCTTTGGCCTCCGTTTGACCTGCAGATGGTTCTGTGAGGGGAAGGAGCTGCACAATACTCCTGACATTCAGATCCACTGCGAGGGTGGGGACCTGCACACCCTGGTCATCGCAGAAGCCTTTGAGGAAGACACAGGTCGCTATACCTGTCTGGCTACGAACCCCAGCGGCTCAGACACAACATCCGCCGAGGTGTTCATTGAAGGTGAGGAGAGGTGTGGGGCAGCGGTCAGCAGTGTGCATGGTCTAACAGCTTCAGCATCGCAGGGCTTCATTGTGAATATGCTTCCCCAATGCAAATAGCACAATGGTGTTGTGACACAGAACTCATTTCTCCCGAAAAATGTATAAGTAAATCGAACCGTCCTGACACTTAGGCATGCATCAATCGCATCTAATGTCAACATGTGTTCCTTTCCACTTGAAACATTCCAGTTACATTAACTTAACTTATTTAAAATGTAAAGCACCCAATTTACTTTTGCTTTCTCTAGGGAAAAAAGAATGGAAACATATTGAAATACTGTATCTATCAGCCAAAGTTAAACTCTAAATTATTTAGGAAATCGTGACAATAAGGGAATATTTTTAAGTATTCTCATTTGTATTAAATTCTAGAATTTTCCCTTTTTTAAGACTCTGCTATTCCTGATAACTAAGACTTAAAGAGGGGCAGGCAGAGAATAGAATGTTTCTATTTCTATCAATTCACTTTGGACAAGACTCAGCCTGTAGAGAATTAGAAACCTTGATATCAGAGTATATAGTTTTAGATTATCGTTGCATTGTGATCGGTGCCAATAATTTAAGTTGTAAGTGTTTTAAGCACCGCAGTGTTATATCATCTCTAAATCCATAAATCAATATGCATCTTTTCAAAATACTAATTAAAATACAGAAAGAAAGTTAAAATTCCTGAGGTCTCCACCACATGAATCTTCATCTTTGAACTACTTTTCAATGTTTAATATAGCCTAATTTCTTCCTTATTTAAAGTAGAAGAAAGCAGGATGTGAGCGCCTTCAAGAACTGACAGTTTGATTTTAGAAGTAACCTGTTATCACTCATAAAAGTGTGCACCTTGACTTCTGCTAAAAGGTTCCTCTGCATTATCTTTGAAAGCAAACATCTGTGAACTCCTCGAAGGACCTTGCCCTGTTAATGAAAGCAAACATTCTGTTTCTAGTAGTAACTAATACTTACATGGGACTTATAAACGCACACATAATACACATACGTAACCATTTACACTTCACAGAAAGCCTATGAGGTACTATTAGTAGTCCCTTTTTACAAATGAGTAAACTGAGATCCAGAGAGGTTAGAGAGACTCGTTCAAAGTTACACCAGGATGGAAACCCAGGCAGTCTCTCCCCAGGGCCCATATTCTTAACCACTGTGTCCTATACACATCAAAGTGCTAAAGTAAGAGAAGAAGAATAACAAAGGTTTTTAACATTTAACAAGTTAGCAATAAGTATTAGTCTTGGGCAGACTGTGTAACAAACTCCTTGAAATATTTTGGAATGTCATAAAAGGAACTTAAAGCTTCCATTAAAAACCTGTTCGTTAATGATGATCAGGCTCGTCACCCAAATCCAAGTTCAGCTAGAGCACCTTAAAATTAAAGACTTTACCTGCTTTCAGCACTGGTACGACTGTGGTGAATTTTAGTGTGTTTTGCTTCTATGCTACAGATGCTCAATGAATTCACAGCAGTTTAAGTCATAGCCTATGGACTCAATTCAGCCAGCACTTTTTAAGGCCCTACTGTGTGTGAGACAGTGCAGGTACAGATATGATGAAGACACAGTTCCTGATATCTAATAGCAGAAATGGGCATATTTAAAAAAAGAATATAAAATGATAGGTGATATTATAATAAGTGATATAATGAAATATATGAAGTATTATATGGTTACAAATGAACTTTAAAAATTAACTGCAGTATCTATAAGATATGCTCACTTTTCACATGAAAAGAGGAAAAATGTCTCTATCTCTGAAACTGGTTTCAGTATCTCACTCCGGTAGACCCAACCATCCACAGCACGGTCTTTACTGTTATTTATTTAAACGTGGTCTTCATGTAGAAGCTTCTGAACCACCAGTCCTCTTCCGCCTTTGAAATCACCTGCGAGAGCTACTCAATGTGGGGAAATGCACCCCTAGTTCTATATGCATGTATGTTTCGTGCCCTGGACTTTGGCAAAGACAGTGGGTTATTTTTTCCAATGCACAGTTTCCCACATGATAACACTGAACTCACTTAGCCAACCCGCCATTAGGTGTCTGTGACTTCAGATAGACTGTGTGTGAAGAGGAGGATAAGGAAGCTGGACAGAGAATGAAGAGCTATTAAGATTCAGTCTCCAATGCCTAATATAAAAAAACTAGCTCATTGGCCTTGTAAAATATGGGTAATAATTTTTAAAAATACCTGAGAGATTTCAGTATATTTTTATCCCTGAGAACAAGAACTTTAGGTAAATTCTTAGGCTATTATGACTGCAAGTAAGAGAGCTTCCTATTTTACTTATCCAGCACTAAATTAGACTCAGCCATATCTCTATTGAATTGTTTCCTAAAGCATGTTATTAACAGGTCAGCATGTAGTCACCCAGGGTCTATCAGGGTGTAGGAAGTTTTCTATAGAATTAAAAAATCCAAACAAAGCCTTTCCTAAAATTTTACCAACCTACTGGTTGGAAACCATCTAAATTTCACTGTCTTATGGGGCAAGTTTTAGAGCAATACAAAAGAAATTACAGCTTAAGAACCAGCTAACATTTATTTAGTGTTAGCTAGGAACCAATCACTTCATTTTTATATGAAAAATTACCCCATTTTATGGTTGAGGAAATTGAAGCTTAAAGAGGCTAAGTAGTGCCAAGATCGCATACAACACACACACATGCACACATGTGTGCAGGTGCTCACACACCCCCACACACATAGCACTCAAGAATTCAAAACCAGGCAGTCTGATCCCTGAATCTGCCTTCTTCACCACTCACTCCAGAATAAAATGTAGATGAACTCATTACTGTGGCAGCTGTAATCACTTCAAGCTATTCAGGGCACATATTGAGCACTGTTTAGAGAATGTACTAAGGAATTACCGTAAGCAGGCAGTGATGTAGACACTGCGGGCACGCAGGAGCACAGGATAGGCCTATGCTCTGACTTCCCTGACGCTCCCGAAGAGGAGGGAGAATAGAGCAGTGCACTCATCAATCATCCCAACACCAGCCAATGCCAGGAAGAAGGAAACGGTGGCTGGTGAGGTCCGGGGATCAGAAAGGCCTCTCTGAAGAGATGACATTTGATCTACAACCTGGACTCCGAGAAGAAACCCACAGGAAGACTGGGAAAGGGTGCTTCACACAGAGGGCTCAACACAAGGCCCTGAGAGGGGAGGACCAAATGTGTTCGAGGAACAGAAGGAAGTCCGGGGTGGCTGGAGCATAATAGAGAAGAGACAGCTGGGAGGGTTGGGCAGGGGCCAGTTCACGTGGGACTTAGGGCCTTGTGGTCACTGTTAGCAGTGTCACTGTTAGTGGCCTTTATTTTCAATAACACAAATCATGGAGGGTTTCAACAGAAAAGTCTCATTAGCTGATTTATACAGGGTGGGACAAAAGCAAGTTTACACTTGTGAGAACCCAAAGCAGTTTATTCTTGCATTCTTAATTAGTTACTGTATTATTGCCATAGGAACAACTGTTAACCTACTTTTGCCACACCCTGTCTTTTTAAAATTCTTGCTTTAGCTTATAATGGGAGACCAGTTAGAAGCCCGTTGCAGCAGCACAGAGGAGAAATGAGGGACTTCAGGAGGAGATGGTATAAATGGAGGTGGTGGTGGAGGGGTCAGAATTGGGTTAAGAATTCAGGGGTAGACTCCAAAAGCTGAGCGCTCAGTGGACTGGATGAGGGGAGGAGGGGAGGAGGGGGTGAAAGGAACCAGGCAGCTCCACCGCCTTCAGCTTTACCAGGTGTGTGGCCCATGCTGCCAACCTCTGGAATCGGGGGACGGGAGGGGCAGGGTTAGGGGCCAGGGAAGGGCACGTGCTGTTTTGAACTTGCTAAGTTTGAAATTCCTACTTAGGTAGGCAAGTGGATGTGTCATGCCAGTAATTGGACATATGCCCACAGTCTAGCCCACAGGGCTGAGTGAAATATCTGGGAGCGTCAGGACATCGATGTAACTAAGACTCTGGGACTGGGCATACCTACCAGGGAGGAAGGGAGTGAGAGAGAGAAAGGGAACCAGGTCGGAGCCTGGATAATCCTTCCTGGTTGTGGGAGTTCCAAGAGGGGAGATGCCAGGGAAGGAGAGGAACCAGGCAGAGTGTGTGCAGGAGGCAGGAGGGGGTGTTGCAGGAAGGAGGGCGATGCCAGCTCTGTCTATTCCTGCTGAGGGTCCACTCAGATGAGGGCAGGAGGCAACCGCAGGGTTTGGCAGCTGTGGATGTTAGACAGGAGGGATCTGGGCAACCTGGACAGGACCAACCATCTAATGCAATGAGTTGAGAAAAGCTTGCAAAATATGGAAAGAGAAGCAACAAATAATAGATTGTGTTTGGGACATTTTGTTCAAACGCCAGCAGACTCGAAAAGTGTGAGATCAAAAAAGATTTTTAATTGAGGTATAATTGACAGATAATAATAGTTTCAGGTATACAATATGATTCGTTTTAGTATATATGATGAAATGAGCACCAGAATGAGTATTTAAAATCCATACGCCTATTACTATACATAGCAATAGTTTTTTCTTCTTGTGATTGGGATTTTTAAGATCTACTTTCAATTACACGATGCAGTATTAACTATAGTTGCCATGCCATACATTGCATATCCAGGACTTAATCTTGTAACGGGAAGTTTGTACCTTTTGACTCCCTTCAACCATTTCATCACCCCTCTAACCTCCCACCTCTGGCAACCACCATTCTGTTCTCTGTATCTATGACTTTGGGTTTGTGCTTTTTTTGTTTTTAAGATTCCACATATAAGTGCCATCTTATGGTGTTTGCCTCTCTGTGTCTGATTTATTTCACTTAGCATAAAGCCTTCAAAGTTCATCCATTTGGTTGCAAATTTCAGCATTTCCTTCTTTTTATAGATAAATAATATTTCAGAGAGTGTGAGTGTGTATGTGTCTCACATTTTCTTATCCATCCATCCATCTATGGAAAC